AAAAAAAGGGGGGGGGGGGATGTGTGTAATGAAAACAGAATTTAAACTATGTAGACTATTTTATCAATTGTATTATATTTTTTGCCCTGTTATTTATTTAATACAGAAACACAAATTTGGACTATGATAACAGCAACAAACCAATGGTCTCATTCATGAAACAACACAGAACAAGTTTGTGCTTAGATTCCAAATGGTCAGCCTTGTTTACCATGGCCATGTTTGCACAGAAGCAGATTACACCTGTCAGTCTTTAAGGTGGTTATATTCACACACAGTTGGCTACAAGAGTAACTGCCACATGCGAACAAGGACTAAAAAGTGGCCCTGGATTCTGTTTGATAGGTTCAATTGACGTTGGATCAGTATCTGATGCTATGGGAACATCCTCCAGTTGATGGTTATCCTGCCTATGTAACCCACTTCTCTTCCTCAGGGTGGAACACTATGGCTTTTCGTAAGTGTGTGATCCGCTGTGTGCTCACTTTGTTACAAAAGAGGACACGCATCATAATTGTGAAGTGCATGGGTCAGGTGGAGTCTCTTCCCTCAAGCAGTCAGGGAACATGACCCTCTCTAGCATATACAGAGGTTTTAGATGTGATTTCTTGTCCTGTCAACAAATTAAAACTGGACTGGTCTTGGAAGAAACCTATTCCGACATGAATTACTAATCCCGCTTTAACTATATTCAGCTTGGTGAAGCAGGGGAAATACTTGCATCAACATCTTGACCTAACCTGTGAAGGTACAGGGTAAGTTTGAGTTTAAACCTTCAGAAGAGTGTTTTGTTGCCATGGCAACAGACTGCATTCCTTGGGGTATAACTGAATTTGTGCATAGTCCAATCGTGACTGTCTACTGCTTATGTCTAGTCATTTCGTCTCTGTCTGAATCAGAACCAGACAAGACATTCCTATAGATCTATTTTGCAGAATACTGGGTCTAATAGCAGCTGCCTCACTGGTGATACCACTTGGCCTGCTTCATATGAGACTTTTTCAGAGGTGTGATAGCAGTAAGAGGAATCCTGGTATCCTCTTCACTTAATGAGGTTTACATGCAGTGCTGTCTGACAATTTTGCACTGGAAACAACCCCAGTTCATGATTCAGGATTTTTCATTGTGGAGTGTTTTGCCACTAGATAATTATGATAGGTTGGGACACAGTTTTTTCAAGGACGCCCCACCCTACAGTGTTTGGATGATGGCAGTGTTTTTGGTTTTGACCCACTTCCTCTGAGAAATCCAAGGATGTAACGTGATTTACAAAATTGACAACATGTCAGTTGTCTCAACTATAAATGGAAATGTGTTCATTGGGAGGTTAGGTCAGCACATTCTGCTTCTGGTGCAGAACAAGTTTCTATTGCTATGGGCGGTGCACATCCAAGGTCATTTGAATCTGGAAGCAGATCTTCTCTCGAGACATGGGTTGAGGCTTGGAGAATGGAGGTTTCATCCTCAGACCTATCTGGCAGGGATTCGCCAGGGCAGATGTGGATAGGTTCGCTTTGAGTGAAATGAACCAGTGCCTCCCGTGATTCTCTCTGATCTTGTCCGTCATCTCTGGGGTTTGACACTCTTGTGCATGCGTGGCCAATTGTCCGCTTGTATGTTTTACTGCTGATAAATCTGCTTCCTGCAGTGATGCAGAAGATGCGAGAAGAGGGTCTCCTCTTAGCAGCCACATTTTAGCCATCCCATATTTGGTTTTTGACATTGACACTGATATTAAAATGACAGGTCTTATTCGAACAGGACAAATTTTCCTGAAGGATGTTAGAGAAATTCATATTTGACAGACTTTGTGAATTCTTTGCGATTTTATTTAAAATTGGGATTTCTCAGAGGACCATTGAGTTACCTGAAAAAAAGGTATGTAATTTTCTCCAGAATTTTTACAGAGGTTTTGTAAGAAAAGCACAGACTTGGCAGATTTGGACAGGATTAAAATGGCAAAGTACATATTTTTCTTCACAAAATTCTCTAACATCCTCTGTGAAAACTAGTCCTGTCCGAATAGGGCTTATGCATCAGTAAATCAAGCCAGTGACTAAATGGGTATTTTACACTGGTCCTCTTAGTAGCTTGGAAATCATATGCTATTTAAATGGTGATAAAATTATATACAAAATAGCGCAAGAACACTCCATTAATCACTTAGTAATCATTGGAGCTGTCAATCAGGGTCAGGTTATCATTGATTTCAGTTCTGCACTTTATAATAAATTATAATCAATGATCAACACTGCTCAATTAATCCTATATTTGCGTTGTGTATTCACTGTTATTATAAAAGCATTCAAAAAAAGAATGCCAAAATTGTGTTGCAACAGCCATGACTGTGATTGGCTATGATGCTCAGTGCTGCAACTTTTTATGCAATGGGAGTATATCTAAATACAGTATAATGCTGCAATCAACATTTAGTCTTAATCTTGGCAGAGGTCAAGTTTGACAAGTTTTCATAAGAGTTCCACATGTAATACTTATTTCATATGCAAAGATGTTACCCAATCATAGCAGTCAGTGGGCATGTACACTGAACTCTTAAAAGAGATCTGCTCATTTAAGGTTTTCAAATCAGAGGTCCAAAATCATGGCTATTCATTTCTAAATGATGACAGTTTGTGGCTAATGCTAATGTTAATCCACATTAATCCAGAAATATTTGAAAAAGGTATCTTCATTTCAAAATGTCAACACTAGCATTTTCCAAAAGTTGCTCATTCACACGGACAAAATAACAGACATAAAGTTCTCATTGTATTCTTTTGGCACAATCTTTTTACTACCTAATATCCCACCACTCACTGGTGCGTCCAGGTCAAACTTAAAATCTGCATTCATTGTATTGTCTAAACGCAGCTGTCATCATCTTTGACTGCAGGACAGCAATTGCATGAAAATATTCAGTCATCTTTGCATAAATGTAATATGAAGATTGTACAAAGCAACATGTATTAGTCACGCTTTATTTTAAGGTCCCATTCTCACAATTAAACTAACTATTAATTACACATTTTGCCTTAATAAACTCCTAATTACTGCTTATTAATAGTTAGTTAGGTAGTTGTTAAGTTTAGGTATTGGGTATGATTAAGGGATGCAGAATATGGTCATGCACAATATGTGCTTTATAAGTACACAGCCAATATGCTACTAATATGCATGCTAATATGCAACAAGTTAATAGTGAGAATTGGTCCCTAAATTATAGTGTTACCCATTTATTTGTATCAGCATTATTAAAGTGAATAGCAGACACAACAACGCCAGGTACAAGCATGCCTTTAATACTGCCATTGTGTGCAAGGCACCCCCAGCCTGTCTCACTGCTGCATACGCCCTGCTGTTCAAATGTGAAGCCGGTTCATAACGGTTTAGACCGCAGGATCAGAGCCTTCAAAGAAGATCACCCTGAGAGAGATACCCCATGAGCATTGGGACACATCCTCACATGGTCCCTCTCCCGCAATAATTCAAATAATGGAAGGGATGAATGCAGACTGAATGTGATCTCTTCCATGATCTCTCTACCTCAGCGTGGAGATCAGGAAGAAACGGAAGGCTCACAGGAGATATCTAAGACAAAACACTTCCTGAAACTCAAAGCTGAGTGTTCAATAATAGTCACCTAGTTATCGGCGCTATTTTTAAATAATGTGATCACAATTTAAATAACATATGATTATGTACAATATGTGAAACATGACTAAACACGTGTCATTGATTTAAAATAATTCCAATTTCACAGTCCAACCTACAATGCAAAAAAATAATTTTCAAAATGTATCCACTTGGGAGAGTGTTTTCAAAAGGCTCAGTTCCCTTTCAATTGGGAACTCTGCACTAGCTCTGATGAGACACTGTGGGTAATGTCCTCAGTGTGACCGGTGTCTAAAGCACATGTCTAAACATGACAATTCCATTGGCCAATGACAGCCCATGACGTCTCCATCAGTGAGCTAGAGGGAATAAGTGGGTGTCTGCAGTGTACATCATCAACATGTCTTCAGGAGCCGTTTGTTTCTGTAGCAGCATGTGAAGGTGACTATTATTGAACACTCAGCTATGAGTTTCAGGAAGTGTTTTGTCTTAGATATCTGACACCTGAGGATACACACAACTTGTGCGTTATGTGCTTAGGTGAGGATGCACGTTCATTTCTTGAGGGAGCTGAATGTGCTTCATTGTGAGAAGTTCACAATGAGAAAGCTACATTCATGCCTGTCTGTTCTCAAAGGATGTTGGACAGGCGTCTGTGCCCCATGGCTCCAGAACCACTGAAGCACAGTGAAGATTGAGCTTGTGGGGATCACAGGTTGAGTTGGCAGAGGATTTTGAGAAAGGTATCTCTCGTTCCTCTATTCCTCTTTTACCCATTCGAGCAATCTGCTGTACAGGGATATTCTATCTCTTGAGTCTTCTGATCCAGCAGATCATTTTGCTGGCACCATCCAGCCAGGAAGAGGTGGATATGGCTGAGGAGGTTGAAGATGTTACAAGTGAGCATTCCCAGCCTGCCAGCCCCATATACAGCAGAAGGAGCTGTTGGATGTGATGTCCCATGCCACAGCTAGATTTCGATCGCGAGAGGCATGAAGTCTTTCGTGGCAGACTTGACAAGCATTTTCTGTTGGGCCATAGCCGTTCCACTCCTGTGAGCCTTCCGTTTCTTCCTGATCTCCACGGTGAGGTAGAGAGATCATGGAAGAGACCACATTCAGTCTGCATTCATCCCTTCCATTATTTTAATTATTGCGGTAGAGGGACCATGTGAGGATGCGTCCCAATGCTCACGGGGTATCTCTCTCAGGGTGATGCATCTTCTTTGAAAGCTCTGACCCTGCCGTCTAGATCCGGCTTCACATTTGAACAGCAGGGCGTATGCAGCAGTGGGACAGGCTGAGGGTGTCTTATACACAATGGCAGTATTACAGGCATACCAGCCCAATTTGGTTAACCATCACATATACGGTGAATTCTCAGTTGATTAACCCAAACTTTGCTTATTTGTGGTATGTCTGTTCCAAAGCACCAGTGAAGAGTTACTTCAAACAACCTCCTGTTGGTAACCCTGAGTTAACATATGAAATCTTCATTTATTTATATCAGTGTACTTCTCTTTTTCCACAATTAAACTGCATTATGCTTTGCATTGTATTGGTCATTGGTATTACAAATTCCATATTTGCGAGACAGTCTCTCTGACAACTATATGGTATAAACTTATGATAATATCATACATGCTTGACTTTCATCCAGTTCTCAATTCAATCTTTTATTTTGCTTTTACTGATACTTGTTTTGCTGACAGGGCTAAAAACCATGTGGAACTTAATTATCTTTGTTTTAAGCAACTCAATAAAATGTCAATTCAAAATGAATCCAAAATAATGCTGACCATGGTTGGCTCACAGAAGAATGATGTAGTGATTTTAATTCACTGCACTGCATTATTGTTTTCTTGGCTTCAAGGCATTACAGAGATTAATATAAAAGCCTGCATTGACAAAGCAAAGCTGCTCTGCCCTTGCAGTGGACCACCTTGTAATGCAGAACTAGAAAAGCAGCCTTAATTGTCTTACCAATAGTACTCTGTATTGATTTGTAGGTCTTATCACCATGGTGGACAACTTGAGGTCAGCAGTCAATAAATTCCCACGTTTCTTCTGTGTCCACTATGCAGGGGTCATATATTGAAATGCTTGTGACTGAATACATAATCACATAATTTCAGGCTCACTAAAAGAGCCATGATGACAATTGATATATTAGACAGTGTTCAATGACTTTCTTGTGCAGACCTTCAATGTTCAAAGCAATCATAGCAGGGAACGGGCATGTATTGACAGGTGAATGTATACCAATTTTAATGATGCATAGATTTAGTATTTATGTTTATGTGAAAGCTTAATTTCATTCATTATATGGCTGGATAGTAATTTTAAAAATGAATCAGCTTCAAGCTTCAATTAGGACATTTGCTTATTACAGATTTCATGTACAGGTCTAGGGGCATGATTATTATTTATTTTATATTGAGTTACTTTTTATGTAATTCATTTACTAAAACTAGCATGTTAAATTGACTTGCCTAATTAATAACAATTCACATTAAAAATAAAATGTAAGTGTCATTTGGGGCTGCATTATTTAAATGTATGATTTGGTACATATTACTTTAAAATTAACTATGAAATCAGCACTACTTGTAAGGGAGCTAGCCTGATTTATAAAGATCTACAGCAGTAAATAATAATTATAGTTTTCCAAATATGGTTATATCGACTAATTACTGTAATTTGTGATGCAGAACAAATTCCAGCAATAAGCACAACATGACTTCATGCAGGCTAAAATTATATCCACTGGTGCAATGTGCATCGCTACTCCTGACACAAGGCAATGCAGTTCTAATCATATTTGAACACAATCGGTTTAAACATTGAATTTCTTGATTATTATCTAAACAGGACTAAATGACACATGCTGTTTGTATCTTGTTGTGTGCCCATTCAATGAACCAAATCACAAATATGTTATGGAAATATGGCTTGT